GGTCTAAGTAATTATTTTACCAATGACCTTAAAATATCCCTGTTGTTAGTTTTCCTTGCAGAGGGCAGTCTCTGTAATAGGATCAGGCAGTATGTTTCTTCATGCCAAGTCACTGAATGCTAAAATGATTTGTCATCTTTTGCCACAGGCCATTGCCTGACACACACATGCCACAGTCTAATGTCTCGCCTGCTTTGACATCAAAGTGCCTTCCTTCGGCCATTACCAACAAGAAGAAAGGCAAACAATGGCAGAAACTTCTGTTCTTTCTGAGAGAGTTTTAATTAAATAAATGGTCTCAAATAGCTTAGTGGGACTAAGGCAGGGGGAAAAACCTTTCATCATAAAATGTATTAAATCTATAAATCTTGCTTACTCTCTCCCCATGCAATTTTTTTTATTTACTTCACAGTCACATTATTTCATTCTCTGCAGAGATTTATGACAACATTATATGACATCTCCTGGGCTTTCACAGCCTATCATCTTTTACAGCTCACTCATAATGCCATGGGCCATAAAAGACAGATTTCATCTCATTTTACAAAGGGGAAGGGGGAAAGAAGTCCTATGCAGATCCTCCAGTTGCAGAAAGGTTTTCACATGCTGAAATATACCATTTTGAATTGGTTCACTGAGACTTTTGGTATCAGCAACTCCACCTGTTTTGAGGGATGGGTGATTTCTACAGCATACTCCAGAGTCCTGATTTCCCAATTCAAATCAACAAGGCAGCGATATAGCAAAAGGTGTGCTCCAAGGTGGGATCAAGGTGTAGCTGGGGCTGCAAAAACTCTGGTTTGGTGGGGTTGTCTTCGCTCTTCCTATTTAGATGTAGTTGGTCGGTGCTATTCACTGATGTGTCTTCACAGAGCTGGTTTAGAGAGCCCATACTTTTCAAGAGAAGTCTCATAACAAAATGCTCCCTTCTTGTCCATCCCATTTTGAGGAAAATAAAATGCAAAAAACTGTATGTGCCAGCCAAACCATTGCAAAATTCTTTATTCAAATGAAAGAGGTCCTTCTGATGGCAAGTGGCGTTATAATTATAGACTAGAAAAAAGCAAGATCAGCAGCTGCTGCTGCTGCTGCTGCTTGCGTTTGTTCCCTCTGTAACTGACAGGACAGAGTACTTGGCAAAAACAGGCTTCCAGAAGTGGAAAGACATTTTAACCCCTGTTCTTGTCAGTCCACTTCTCCTGGGGCTCGGCAGCAGCAACCCCTTGCTTCAGGTTAAGGGAAGAGCAAGGTGACTGTTGCAGATCTGAAGGGGACTTTGTTTGGGACGTCTGAGAAAGAGGAAGGGTCCAGGATTTACTTTCGGGCTTGGATTGCCGAATCAAGATAGCAGGTCAGTGGATATAGTGTGAGCTTAATATGTTTTTACGGTTGGCTTAACTCAAATCTCTCTCATTCACTTTCTCTCCTATGCCATGAACCAAGAAATAAGGTGATACAACGACAAGGAGTAGGTCTGTGTAGAGGTACTATTTATTTATACATTCTGTAATGTGCCTTTCATGGTCAGTTAGGGAACACTGATGGCTGTTATTTTTTACTGTGGTTTCTTTCTGAATCCTAATATATCCTGAAATTCTCAGCTAGACAAAAATCCCATTTACAGTTGAGTTCAATATTAATGGGGTGGGATACACTTATATTTTTAGGTGTTTATGGCTAAAGTCTTCTGATGATCTTAGCAAAAGTGGAGGAGTAATATATAACTCACATTTCAACCTGTGGTTGAGAAAGGTTCAGAGAGGGAATAAACACTGAGCAAAAGGAAAAGTAACATCACAGATATGAGTCAAGGTGTCTACAGGTAGCAAATGGGCATAACTTGTACTATGTCCCCAAAACTCACAAATCCATACCAGCCTAGCCCTACATCTGCTAATGAAGTTAAAGGCAACACAATTAATAGGAACATTTTTCCTAACACCGGTGTCTGTGTTATCTAATGTGCTCTGTCCTTCAGCCCTGGCCAAAACAGTGCTCGGGAAGGAATGTGCCAGGGGGCATCATTATGCTTTGCTCTTCCGGTTCGTCTCAGTTTTAGCTTTTTAATTTCCTGTGGCCATAAGTAATGTAATGTTGGAAGGACTCTCAGTCGACATGCTACCCATGAACCAAGGGCTTGGGACCACCGTGCAAGGGCCAGGTTCAGCTCAAGGCTTTACACCAAAACTTCCCATTGCATGGGGAGGCCATACCCAAGTGGTTGTAGTTGTTTCCAGACAACAGAATTCTCCAGAATTCTATCTTTCATAGTTTTGTACAGTCCAAAGCATTCTATAATCACCTTATCTGACCTAATGTATATTTTAGGACACTGAATTATATTATCCTGAAGTCCTTATATGAACCTAATGATAAATGTTAAATAAAGCATTTGTTTAGCAGGAAACTAAAACACAGTGCACTAAGGCAAAGCAGGGCAAGGAAACCAAGGCATCAAAGCCTGACATTGCTCTTACAGTCCCACTTTTATTTGCCCCATTTCAGAGGCAGAAAGAAAAAGCAGGGGCATCCAATGCCTCCAAAGTTAATAAGAAGAGTTTCTATTCAGAGCCAATGGCATTGAGTTAAGCGCTGAAAGAGATGGCTGGGGTGTGATTAAGTAAAATGTAGTTGCTTGAATCAAGCAGACAAATGGATAAAACTCTCATTTCCCAGTCCAGTGCAGGGAGGAATATTCTTAATCCTGAATCCTATTATCATTACAGCTCTGCATTTGTGGCCAAAACCCATCCACTAGGCCTTACAAAACAGGATTTGCTTCAGTAGAGGAGGAGAACTCATTTTGTCCAGCTTAGCTACTGACCAGTTACTGGCGGTTCCAGTCACTGGGATGCCTGGGAGGAGTTAATCCTTCCTGAACTCCATGTGCAGAAACTGAGAACTGTGTTTTTGACACTAGTCACTGCCTTCCTGCAGAGCTGCAGATGCTGCGAGGGTGCTGTAAGCAATCTTGTTCCCTCCATGATGCACAACAGAAGTTTAACAGATACCCAGATACTAGGGGAGACAAACAGAGCCTTCAGACCCAACCCTGTGTGTCTCAGCTCTGGGAATTCTTCTGTCCAGCTATCTGCTCTCAGCTTAAAGACCCTAAACAACAGGGTGTCTATCCAGTCCTGTGTTCTGACATTTAGTTGCCCCCATAGTTAGCAATTTATGTTTTGCTTCATCCTGTATTTGTCTAACTTCATCGTCTCATCATGGCACTGTGTTACACTGAGGGTCTGGGTTCCTGCTGGGTTGTAAGCCCTCACATTATCAGACATCTTTTCAAAATCTAAGAACTCCCTACATGCAGTCAGTCCCACTGGAGATTTCCATTACAAATTGCATACTAGTGGGAAGATAGAGACACACTCACTAATTATATGGCTTGAACACGCACACTCCACAGCATCGATGGCCACGGCCTAAAGCCTCCTAGAGTGATCCAAGGAAACTCAGTGTATTTTTGAGAGTACTTTTTTACCCTAGTCCTTCCCTATAGTCCAGCCACAGATTTCTTTCATTGTTTATAAAGCCCCATTTCTGATGGAGGATGGACATTTTTTCCATTTTCTTAAGCGTTGAATCCTGACCACAGAATTTTTAGCAGACAGGACTGTATTTCTGCATTCCAGTCAGCCAGTTTGGCTCCTGAATTGAATTTTATGGAGTACAGCAATGACAAAAAAAAATTTAAAGGTCTGTGCTAAAGCTCAGGGAAAGGAAAGCTATCATTCGGATGCTAAAGAGTAAAACCCATGTGTCTTAAAAAAAAACAACAACAAAAAATAATCTCCAATCCCAGACTGGTGAACCTCAAGTAGCCATTCTGTAGAAGAAAAGAGACAGCCTGTCAGTAGTACAAGGCTTATGGTGTCTTTTCCCTACTGATTCCCTTGGCAGCTAAAAGAAAAAGTGGCGCTTTTACTGCTGAATTTTAATGGCATACTTTATGCTCTGCATCAGAGACAGAGCCAAGTTGCATAAAATACTACCAAGTCATCTATTAACTAGGGGTTCAGATTTTTTTTCCCCAAGTATAAATGTCCTACAGTGGCATCAAGAAAATATAGACAAGAATCATATTTGTGAAACACAGTAACTATCTGGAGGTGCTCATCTTAGTTACTCCCTTTTTGCATGCTGTATAAAACTTCTTTCACCCATATTTGGAGTTGGGATTTTTTTGTAAGCACATCAAAATTTCTGTAACATCTCCCTATACTGGGTAAGCAAGTAACAAACCCAGCACAAAGAATTTTACCTGTGTACTTTCTGTAGTACTTTAATTATACTGTGTTGCACCCTGCCTACCTGAGCAACCCTATGGCCTGTTTTGCATGGCCATGCAATGCTGAAATATTGATGAGTAAGTCTGGTAAGTCAAGGGGAGAAATAACAGAGTTCTCCAGCTGATCTCAGCTGCTGTCATAACTGGTAATGAAAGAGGCAGTCTCCAAATCTCATTTGTTTTTTGGATTATTATAATTACCAAGCCAGCTAAAAATACTGGCTGGGGAGGAAGGTGCATTTGTGTAATTTAGCTTTATTTCTCTTACCAAGAAACTGAGAAGTTTTGAAAAAAATTTCAAGCAAATTTACTTGCTATACTTTGCTCACAGCAGACTGGAGCAAACCGAGAGTAACCAGAGACTTCAGAGGTGTAACATGTCTCTGCCGCTGCCACCCAGGAAAGTGGCCACATTCAGTGCTAACTATTGAGTTTGGGTGGTCTTTGATACAGCCTTGCATCAGTCAGTCTTCAGGGACAGACTCAATAGGGCTTGTAACTACAAGATTTTTATTTCTCTCTCTATATATATATGAATACACACACCATGTGTTTATGTACACATACTTTTATATATTTATATGTGCATGTATGTCTATGTATCTATCTATACAAGGGTGCATTCAGGCTAGGATATGCTGTCTAAAATGTTGTTGGTTTCCTGCTTCTCTTCTACTGTTTCTAGGCACAGCCTGCCAAGACGATGACAGTCACTTATTCCAGCAAAGTAGCAAATGCCACTTTCTTTGGATTTCACAGATTACTCCTAAGGTGGAAAGGCAGCATCTACAAATTGCTGTACAGAGAATTTATTGTTTTTGCTACTCTTTACACAGCGATAAGTGTATTATACAGGTACACTCTTTCCAATTCACATCTCATTAAATGTTATACTGAAGTTTCACACTTCCTAGTGTTAGGCTGATGAGTGATGGGGGGAGGTTACTACATAATTATTATCTTTTCCTTGGACTTTTTCTAATGTGCTTTCATTTCCATGTTTAGTTTACTGTTCCAGATAAAGTATGTAGAGTGTAAATTCTATTGGATTCAGCTGATTGTATTTTCAGCCCAGCACTGAGCAACTATCCTACTGAAGTTACACTAAATAAACACTCATAGTTAGCCTAGGTTATACAGCCTTTGTTGTTCTGATATTGAGCTGGAGGAGGTGAGTGTGCCTCCCTGCTTTAGATAATCAGTTATTCTCCTTGCAGAACTCTTCAGCTAGTCAGTAGTAATTTCTTTAACAACCCCAAGAGGTAATAAGTTGAGAGTCAGGTTATATAGCCAGGAAAAGAAAAGTTTTGCTTAAAGCTAGAAAGGCATGCAAACTTTATTTTTAGGCTTGCAGAGAGCCAAGGAAAACTGCATGGAAGCCAGATATGGTTATTATCTGTGTGTCATCCAGCACTTGGGAGGATCAGTTAGAAGAGTTGCTTCTTCCACCAAGGTGTGAATTAAACAGCTGTATGACAGATGGAATGCATCAATTAGTACAGTGAAACTTTTAATTGATGAAGTACACTACACAGAAGTATCAAAATCATGATTCAGCTCTTACCACGATCCGTAATTATACCTGTCTGCTTTTTATGTGAAACAGGGAGAAAATGAGCTTCAGTTTGTCATTAATCAGTAATTTTCCAAAATGTTCAGGAATCTGTAAACTCAGAAAGAAAATTACAGTATTAATATGTAAGGAAACAACAGAGTCTCACATTCATTTAAATTAATCTAGTTTTACTGAAATGTCAGGCAATTGAAGACCATGGTAAATACACCATGGGAAGCTTTCTATATGTGCTCCAGCTTTTATTGCACAATTGTAAACAAATCCCATCGAATATTTGTTATATGTTTCTTTTCTATGAAATCAAAGAATAACTGTAATAATATTCATCTATAAAATTTTAAAATAAGTTTATATTTAAGCTTGTATTTTTTACATATCTTTTCCCATGGGCAGCAGTTGACATGGTCCACTCAATTTGCTATAATTTGGTGAATATTTTCCTCACTGCAAAATAAATACAGTTGTTGTATTTTTAATCTTATGGAAAAGAAAAATTTCAAAGGAGTCAGAGTAAAAAACTGCTGCAACAACATGACATTTTCAAATAGGAGCAATTAGAGATTGGTAAACTTTTGCAATTCAAGTAGACCTGAGTATTATCATTAAGTACCCCTCTGAAAAATGAGAGCAAACTCTACTTGCAGACTTACAGCTTACTATCATCTTTGGTCGGTATGAGACAGCAAACTGATTCTCCCCAGGTATGTTGATTCTAATTAGTAGTGCCAATCAACTTAGTAATAAGAAAACTGCAAAGAGCAGGGAATAATACTGTCTTCTCCTCCAGCTTCTTTAATACATGCCAAAAGTGTTCAGCATGTTACCTTTAAGAATTCACTTGAAGACATTAGCCAAGGTTGCTCCCCGTTGCACATACCTGATTATTTATACATATTTGCACTTTGTAGCTAGTGCCAGAATATTATGCAAGGACAAATACATTTTATTTTTGCTGCAGATTTTTTCTTACAGGTAGCCAAAAACGGTTCTTTGAAAAATTATCAATTTACTGTGACAAATATGCTGAACAAATCCCGGTAACTTTTGTGCTTGGTAAGTACCGGTTACATGTGAAATTATTCTCCAGCACTGTCTCTGTTCATGCATTTTGTGAATGTCCATGCATGGAAGCATTTCAGAGCTGAGAGGCATGTGGGATGTTAGAGGCTCACAATAAATCATCAGCTTCGAACAGGTCTCCTTAAATTCAAGTTGCTTTTGTCACATCAACACTTATGTTCTTAATATACCAACAAAAAAAGTTTCCATATACGTGTGTATATATATATATGTATATATATTGCCAAATAGCACTAATACGTTATGCCTGATCTTTCAAGGCACTAAATCCACTTAAGTTTCACTACGGAAGAGGAAATTTGGAGGTTCATAGGTCTGAGATACTCAGCTGGAATGTGCCATTAAGTTGCAGTGTCTATTAAATAATTAGCACTGATTGCATTCTGGGCTTTGACATGACTTACTGCGTTTATTCTGGGAAATGTAGCAGCTTAGTGTTATGAATAATACTCTGCAAACTAAATCAAAGTAACCCAAGCAGAAATCCTGATAGGCACTGGACTTTTTTTTTTCTTCTAACCCCCAGGTTTCTACGTTACTTTGGTGGTGAATCGCTGGTGGAACCAGTTTGTGAACTTGCCATGGCCAGATCGTCTGATGTTCCTCATCTCTAGCTGTGTCCAGGGCAGAGATGAATATGGGCGCTTGTTAAGGAGGACTCTCATGCGTTATGTGAATTTAACGTCTCTGCTGATCTTTCGCTCTGTGAGCACAGCTGTGTACAAAAGGTTCCCCACCATGGACCATGTGGTAGGAGCAGGTATCAGAGTCCTGCTCACAAAATTGCTTTCCTTTCCCTCGGGGGGGGCGCTAAGGGAGGGAAGGAGCCAGACATTTTTATTTTCCTCTGTGGCCCCATGTGTGCCCCATACTAACCCATGTCAAAGCAGTCACCTTTTTGTTAGTGACTTAAATGACGGGACCTTAAGCTTGCATCTTTAATACTCCTAAAGTCTTCATTTAGCAACACCATAGAAATCAAATGAGTCTAAGACTCTTATGTGAATCTTTTTTCAGACACAGTGGAGGCAATAGGTCTGCCCCAAATACTCAGGCATATGGAACAGGTATAACCTTTTCTAAAGCATGAAAAATAACAAAGCTGCAATATAGTATGATGCAGTAGGAGTGGTAACTTGTTATATGGTGTTGCCTCAATGTCTAGGATACAACTTTTTCTCGTGTAAGCACTTCACAAGTACAGTTTTATCTCAATTTATTTTAAGTAGACTGCATTTTAAGTAGATTGCACATTTTAAGTGTTGTAATTTACTTAAAAAAACCCTCAGCCCCAAGGGTTTTTTCTTTAAATTTAAAACCTTACCTTCGTTTTTCAGCAATAAATGTCCTAAGTATTAAGCATGTTTTCATTTTCTGTGTTTTGATAACACAGTGAGTGTGATGATGGTGAAGGGAGTTCAGTCATGTAACACTTTGCTTGTCTATGAAGGACTGACCACTGACTATTTAAAGGCGAGGTGTGACACTGTGCCTTCTGACTGGCATAGTCAGAGGTAGAACACCAGTGCAAAGATGTGGGGATCTGTTCCAAATAGGAGAAGTCATATGTTTTTTACTAAATGTCTTTCATTTCTTAAATTTATTCCTCTGGCAGAGATTAATAAGCAAAGTTGCAGCACATTAAAATATGCAGTGTATATATACATACACGCATTTCAAATACGTGTGAGAACCCTTGGATATTAAAAAAAAGTCCAGGCAGGATGCACCAATCTTACTGGGAAAAAAATAATTTATTTTGGATTCATTGGATTTTGAAGCTCTTTTCCTTGTGCTCTGCAACAACAATATTTACCTGAGCCTGTGAGAGATCAAGGGAGCTTCTGTCGCTCTCCCCAGCAACCTGCTTCTACTACGCACTGGAAAATTACAGAATTTCCAGGCAGTTAATCCAGCTCTGCCTCCCTATTGCTAAAGACAATCTGTTCCAAAAGAGACAGAATGTCACAGTGTTGTACAAAAATTGTAGACTGGAAAACAAGTTTTGGTTTTGAGTTTTTTTAACAGTGGAAAATATTTCACTATAAACTGTATATCTAAGTATTGATAGTGTAGTCAGCTCTGGATTTCAGTCCTCCTTCTGTACATTTTAATGCATATTGCGATGCAGAATTTTTATTGATGCAATACTGAGCACTTCAGGGTATATTTTGCTCCTATTAACATCCAGTGATTTAGACCATAATCTGCAATCATCCCCTCCCTAGCTCCCTGTGGCATCACATATCAGATTGCATGGGAGGGAGGCATTTAATATGAATGTGAGCAGCAGAATGTGATACTTACAGCACAGTCATCATTGAAACAACTTGTGACGATTTTGCATTTTGCTGTCAAACTGCTAACTGCCACAGCATAACTATCGCTACACATTTCTCTTTTCGGCAAATGAACTGCTTAAATTCGTACATTTTAAATCTGAGAACAGTATCGCGATAATCTAGTTTGACTCATCCATAACACAAGACACAAAAACTTACTAACAGCATCCTTTATCATGTTGCAATTTCTGACTAAGCTGTAATATCTTCTAGGAATACAACCAGCCCAGATTTAAAATTCAGCTGGATATACTGGAGTCTACAGTGCATGCTAGGTGAACAGACATTCAGTGAATTTGCTGTTGAAGAGGGCAATTTTATTCTCAGTCTGAACTTGCACAGTCATCTATTCACTGGATTTTGTAATGGGTTTGGGTTCTTCTTTTTTTTTTATTAGATGAAAACACCATTTTCCTCTCAGTAGTGCATAAAGGCTTGAATAGCACTCAGTAGCTTCACCATATATGATCTCTCTCTATAGGATATGGACTTCAGTGCTGGACCTTCCTCCTGACTCGTTTTTATATTCTAACATTTTCTGTGGAACTGTAGGCAGTAGACGCGGGCAGATTCATGATATTGTGATGCTGAATGCTGCAGTATGTATACCATAGGTGTCAAATGCCTAGCAGCAGTCCTGAGATAGCACTTCTGTTGGCTGCAAGGTGCAAGGGGGAAGCTGGATGCTCAAGATCACAAGTCTTAAAAAACAGAAAAGAGTGAGCCACTGGTCAGAGAGCCACCAAAAACAGCTGATAGGAAATGCTGAAGAGAAACATGAGGTGTGAGCTCAACAGCACGAACACCTAAAAATGGCTGAAGTCTGCAGTCTCAAATCCTCCACTGGAAGGAAGCATCTAGATTAACCCTTTCCCACATAACACAGAAGCAGAAAATGTAACTTTTATCTACTTGCTCATTGTTCCTTCTTCTGTAACTGCCAGTATTCAGAATATTTGATATAGGTACCCTGAACCAGTCTTATCTCAAACCGCTCAGTTTTGTGAGGAAAACTGAATACTCTTCTAATCACCTGAGGAAGAGCATGAGTGATTTTTTTTTTTCCAACCAGGCTTGTGTTCTCATCAATAATTATCCCATAAGATCTCTTTGGTTGGTATTGTTCACATTAGTGCCCTTTGATTCTTTATTGATTGCACCCCATGTCAATCTTCTCATACTTCCACAAGGATTCAGTGCCCTGTCATTCCTTAGGTCATCCTTTTCAAGATCTTGGCACAATATTTGACAAATATTTCTGGTTTTCTGGAGCTGCTTCAGCCTTCCATTGCTTGTCAAATACAGTGTTCTTTAGAGAGTTTCTCAGTTAATTCTTTAAATACTCCTAAAAACAAATAGTATGACCACATTTAGAAACCATGTAATTTTAATAACTGAGGTTTGATATCCTCCCCTGTATTTGATAGAATATGAAGTGTTTCTTTACCACTGCAGTAACAGCAAGTGGTTCAGAACTGCATGTTGTCTGTATTGCCATCACCTTCACCAGTATTTTCTGCAATAGGAATACTATGTCTAATGTCAAATTGAACTTTATTGTTAAAAGGACTAGACTTTGTTGAGCTTTCCTGAACAAAAGGTGCCCAGTTTCAGTGGAAAGCTGAACTGATCCTTTAAAATGAGCTTTGCCATTCTTTGTGACACCCCTCAGGCTGTGTCCTTCCAGACAATGACTTCCCAGAGCCTCCAAGTGACTTGCATCCAGTGTTTACTCCAGACTGTTATCCCGTCTGTCTGTTTCAGCCTGACAGAAACATCTTTTCCTGTCCTGTAATGATCGGGTTGGCCAGATAGAAATGGAAGGCAGCCTGAAAGACTGAATTTTAGGAGTCACGAGTCATGACTAGCAGGTCAATTTGTCTGGTTGCCTGATTATTTCTGTACAGTTGATTATGAGAACTGGCTACAAACTGCCCAGAGACCTTTTAAAAGCTTTATCTTATTCTGCTCTCAAATTCCAGGATACTGCAGGAGTATTGTCTTGCTGCTGAACATTTCCTCTATCACAGAATATTCTGTCCTGTCCTTGCCTTCCTTCTCAGTAGTTGCAGTATTTCAAATCTCCTGTGTTAACTTGTTGCAACTGCACAACAGTGACATCTTCCTCAACAACAGAATATTTAAGAAGGTCACCGTGTTTAGCAAATCTTCTTTCTCCTTATTCACATTTTTATATGACACAACTAAGTTTCTGTATATTTATTTTTTTGCTGCCTCATCTATCTTCAGCAATGTTAGCAACCATGGACATATTCTCAGTTACTAGCTGGAGTCTACTCTCAATTCCCTTATTGAATTTTCAGCATTCAAACTTGTAATTGACTAGCTGAGCCACTTATTTTGGGGTTGTCACGTTACTAACTTTGTCCCATTTCAGGGCTAATGTCAACATAGCAAAAGAAGCTTTATACCCACCCTGTTAGATGACACACACCTGAGCAAAAATTAAGATCCTCTGAACCTGAAGATTGCTCCAATCCCAGAAAATCCAGGATTTGGACAAAGGAAAATGTGAATTTTCTGAAGTTGCTTTTATCCAAGGCTAGGTGAAAGGAGGACAGCAGAGCAGAGCTTTCTCCTCCAATGGGGTAGAGGTGTTGCTCCAAAGCCCAGCTGCTCCCTTGCCAAGTCCCAGGCAGCGATTGGCTCTGATGCAGGTTTTGTCACACACAGCCCTGGCTCCCCTGATATCTGACCATGGACTTGCTTGCAGTAAGGAGAAGAAGGATTTCACAAGGCAGGGGAACTCTTCAGGAAACGTAATACCTTCCCAGCACCCGAGCAAGGCAAATTGCCAGGCAGAGAGCAGCTTCAGCCTGCAGCCCCACAGCATGTCACCTGGCCCAGTGTCCCATTAGCAGCGGGATTTCTGTTCATGATTCCCCCTCCGTCTCTTTGCATGCCTTCATAAGCCCAAAGAAAACATGAAACAATCTGGCAGGGAAGTATTTCGCTAGCAGAAGGTACACTCTCTTGAGCTCTGTTTCGTGAATGCACTTGTATCCTCTGTTGCTTGCTCACTGCTTTGCAAATTTACCAAAAAATTATCAGAATCAGAAGGTCGTGTAACTGCCCTTACAACATATGTTGAGATGCTGCTGAAAGCTGTCGTTGCTGAAAAGTGATAGTTTTTTGACTGATATATCCTGTTCCTTATTTTTCTGAAAGCAGAATATGAAACTAGAGAGTAATTTGTACAATTCTTAACATTGTATGTATCTACAATATGTCAGCAGTCAGATATGAGAACACAGTAATAGCAAATTATTGCCTCTACTGGTAACAAAGAATTTTGCATAGGTAGTTAATGCAAAAATACGTTGTTTCAAGCAAGATCTATCTTGGCAAAAAAAAAAAAAAGCTAAAAAAAAAAGGAGTAGGCTACTAGTTAGAATTATAAATTGTGTTTAGAAGAGTTCTATGCAAATATCACATGAACAGATTCAAACATATTCAAAATTTATAGTATCAGTAGCACTGAAAGCACAGAATAAATTGACTTTTTTTTTTGGTAAACAGGTTTTATGACAAGATATGAAAGAAAACTTTTTGATGAACTTAAGTCTCCCCACTTGAAATACTGGGTACCATTTGTGTGGTTTGGAAATTTGGCATCAAAGGCACGAAAAGAGGGAAGAATTCGAGACAGTGTAGATCTGCAGACACTGATGAATGTAAGTAGAAAAAGTAAATCTACAGAAAACTAATCTGAAATTGCTATGTGGTAGCTTTTCACTTACATAATTGATTTTATTTAATGTGCACAGATCTCCTGTGTCATCTAAATTATCTTACTCAGGATTTATCCCACTTTTGATTGTGTACCAATGCACACTCAAACACACACAGCAGCAGTCTGCTGGGATTCTTTTTATATAAATAAGAAGGTATTAAAAGAAGCAATAAATTGATGAATAAAATATTATTGTAACATCACTGTAAGTTCACACTTGTTCTGTTGCTGAGAATATGAGAAATGAGAATAATGTAGCATTTTGAAGATTTTAATATCAGTTACAGGGAAGATAATCTCCCTGAATATTTCATTAAGTGGTAAAACATCCTTTTTATGATATAATATATTCTCTTTCATGCATCACTAGGCTGGGGATAAGATAGAAACAGAAGATAGTTTGTGAAGAAATACATAATATACTAAGCATTCCAACTCCATAAACCAAGTGAATATTCAAAAGGGGTGCTGGATATAGTTATGGTATCAATTTATATATACTAGACTTCCATATCTCCCTGTCCTTTTTATATGTGCAAAAATGAACGGTCACAAAATATTTATAATTCATAATGGTACCCCATGCAATTTTACTTTGTTGGAGTTTGTTGGGTTTTGTTTGTTTGTTTTTCCCCTTTAGGAGATGAATAAATACCGGTCTTGGTGTAGTCTTTTGTTTGGTTATGATTGGGTTGGAATTCCACTGGTCTATACCCAGGTACTGAGCTATTTTCCTTTAGTAAATTCGAAACACGATTTCCAGAAAGGGGAGGTTGGTACAAAACATTCATAGTCTCAACCAGAGTATCTGAGCTATGGAGCACTGGTGCACTCCTGCGGGACCGTGGAGGCCTTGCTGACTATGTAAGTCATATTTAATGCAGAGATGTTTTGAAGATCTTGCATAGTTTGGAAGAGGGGAGGGAAGCACTGAAATGTTTTTATGTTTCCTGGGTGTTCTTCCTGGCCGTAATTATACCTGTGGCCTTTCTATTTGCAATACCTTCCTACAGATTCATAAATTACATGGCAAAAGGCAGTCACAGGCCTTTGAGTATGTGTTGCTTTGTGCATAAGATTGTATTATTCCAATGTATTATTTCAATGAAGTTTTGTTCTTTGCAGGTTGTTACTCTCGCAGTCTATACTTTTTTCTTTGCCTGCCTGATAGGGCGCCAATTTTTGGATACTGACCAAGGGTATCAGGGCCATGACTTAGACATTTACATTCCAATCTTCACACTGTTACAGTTCTTCTTCTACGCAGGATGGCTCAAGGTAAACTAGCTTTCTGGAAAGGTGATGGGGGAACCCTCTCTATGGGGCTCGTCAAGGTGTCAGATCCGTGACACCCTGTAAAATCACCAGAGATTACTGGAGTTACACCAGAGCTGAATTCAGCCCTAAGTGTTCTGTGGTCATATAGACACATCACGCAATACATCTTTCATTCCACCTGATTGTACAGTAAGAAATGGTCATGAACCTGAAAGAGCCCATTTGAGTAGCACCAATGCAGCCACAACACCGCAAGGGAATATTACCCAAAAAAATCAGGTCTCAGGACCTGGCCTATAAAACGACAGATGAAAGATAAAAAAAAAAACCTTTCTCCCACTCCACTGTTCAGTGGGGAAATACTGCTCCAGACCTGGCGTTGGCTGAAAGGGACTGAATCATAATCGGCTGTTAACCTCATCAGATGCAGGCAATTAAAGGTCTCCAGTTCCAGGGGGCTATGAAAGAATGACAGCCAATATTGGCTACAACTCCACTACATAAAAACATTCATTAAAAACATTTATAGAAGGAATTGAATGCTGCCCATCAGCCCATTGACAACTGCTAGGTTAACATATCACCATCAGTCTGATAGCTGAGTAATTAAGCCAGGTATCTCAAGGTGATTCTCTCCTCTGCAGTAGACTAACTGGAAAAAAGTTTCAAATAAAAATCAAATTGGTACATAAGGGTCTGTGCACATTAATATTTCCCTTTGTGTTTATTTATCATGGCTGGAAACTTAGAGGAAGCTTCTCACTTTTCTGTCAGAGGAAACTTCTGACTTTTCTGTTAGAATACACATTGCACAAAATTTGCCAGTTTTAGAGACCCTTCCCCCAGCCAGCTCCAAAGAGTAGAGTAGGGAAGACAGCATACCAAGCTGGCAGGTTGTGAGGGAGGCTGCAGGGCAAGCTACTCTAATCCTCTGTCATAGGAAATCAGGGGGTAAAAGGGACTGCATAGGAACCATCCCAGATAGGAGCAGCAGAGAGAGGAAGGGAGGCTGGTGCACTGAGGGTAGCAATTTCTCCTGGAGAAAAGTGAGGCTTTATCTCTAGGCAATGTCTTCCAGGGTTTTACTAGTGGGTTACAAAACTAAGCTGTTCCTCTTGACTGCCCTTCTGGTGCTGTTGAGGGGCAATGGTTTCCCCTTCACCAGCACCGAAGGATGTTAGTAGCATCTCTTCCAGTTAGGCTCAGGACTTGCAGCCAACTCCCAGCTACAGCAGGTGTGAGATGCCATTGTAACTGAAAAATCTTCTGCATAAGGAAATGGAAGGGAGGAGAAGAAGTTTTAAAAAGTTAATTTGATATCAGCAGTGTTCCCTCAGACGGGGGGTTCATCCAAACCTTCAGTGCCCCGAGTCAGGATATTTCTGTCTTGAAGGTTACAGTCGGTTTCCTGCTGAGTGTGTTGGCCTTTGGCTGCCAGGCAGCAAAAAGGGCCCTGAGATATTGACTTCCAGTAATTTGGCAATTCCTCAGAAATAATGGCTAAACTGAGCTCATTCCTTGGCCTCAAGCCTGGCCTGTTATACCTACAGTACAGGGCCAAAGTTTCCCATCAGGTGAGACACTTCTAAATCTCCATTTTCATTACAGGCATAGATGGACTGTCCAAATACAGAGTTTAGTTGACCAGCACTACATTCCTTTCTGGAGAATAAATCCGTGTCTCACATTCCAGGATCAGGTCAGCCAAGCAAAAGGTCACCAGTGCTGTTCCTTCTGTCCCTGTGCTGCTCACTTTTTTAAGCTCGTGTGATAGGTTTTTTGGGTGGTGATCTCTGCTTCACACAAAGCTGATCCAGAGCCACAGCACAGACTGTGTTCTGGTTCCTTCCTATTGCAGCACTTTCATAGCTATACCCAGAACTTAATAACATAGGCCCGGTCAATGAGTATGAGCAGAGGTGCCCCTGTCTTTCTTCATTCCTCCTTACATGTGTTTTCATAGGATTAGTGTACTCAGTAGGTCCTTTGTTATCTGACAGTGCTGGCCTGGGAAGTGGTGGCCTGGAAGAGTCAGCTTACCCATGGGCACAACCTAGAGACACGTAGGAAAAATACCCAGGGAGCAACTACCTTACTGTTATATGTTATTTAGAGCATAGCTGTTCATAGTGAGGTTAATTAGCAGGACTGTTTAATCATGCAGCTTCTTTGCCCATATGCACATTAAATCAATGATTGATTGCTGCTTTTGGTCCTGGTGACCACTAGGAAGGTTTGGAAGGGTCATCAAGAATGTGATTGGCTTCAAAAGCAGGGCTTAGAAAGATAAACAGAAGGAGAAAAGCATGGAAGGGAGAGGATATTTAACCTCAGCGTACCAAGGAAGTAAGAAATAGAGAAGCAGACTGTATTTCCTAAAACCTTTTTTTTTTTAATTTTCCTGTTTCATCCTTTTTTTTCCTCCCTCAGCAGCTATGCACTTTCTCCCCACAATGTACTTTGGTGATCATGGGGATGAAGAGGCAGTCTCTGGTTGTTTTTCTACTGGATGAGGACAGCCAGAGAGGGTTCCCTTCCCAGACTCATTCCCAGAATAAGGTGCCTCATCACCAAGGTGCCTGAGCTCACTGTTTGCTTATGTCCTCCACAGGATGGGCTTTTGCCCTGCAGTTTCAATCTCTTCAGGTAGAGAAACCCAAGCCAGAAGGCTAAATTAAAGAACAGACTCTGATTCTGTCTCTTGGATTTGGCTAGCATGATGCATGGGGTCTGCTTGAGTCAAGGTTTTTGTGGGCTGCTTTTCCTGAAAAGCTGTGGAAGGGGACCATTAGGATTAACCCTGATAAAGAAGCAGGGTCTGAGGGCTGAGCTGGAGAGCCAAGCTCTACTCCATCCAACAAACTCCAGCTGCGAGGCTTGGGAATACTGACCCAATGGGCTGGTAGACTATCATAGATAATAGTGCAGTAACAGAGCCCCTAGCTGCTAAACCATTTATTTAAATGAGCCAAAGACAACAGTAAGAAAAGGTAATGACTATTTTATGTGACAATTACCATGGGCCAGACATGTCTCAATTCCCAGTAGGCGAGCACCAACAATCATGACTGACAGCACCAGCAAGGCAGAGAGTTATAAATCTATAGGGAAAGCGAGCTCTTCCTTTGCTAGGCTGGCAAAACCATCAAACGGGAAATCAAGCTATGATTGCAAGTGACAGGCAGGGAGAGAGAGAAAAATCCAATCTTACTTTCTCTGCAGCAGTAGTCCTGACATGGCATTCCAACCTCTCTTCACTGTCTCATTTTCTTTTCAGGTTGCTGAACAGCTTATTAATCCATTTGGAGAAGATGATGATGATTTTGAAACTAATTGGTGCATCGATAGAAATTTACAGGTTGCTGTTGTTATTTCTACTTCCCACTTTACTGTATGATAGGTTATCATTACATTTAATCCTATTTCTTAAATATTTCTTAAATTGAGGTACAAATTAGGGCACCAAATGTCAGCAAAACAAATTCTTTCCCTGAAGGTTGTGATCCCCAGAGTTTGTTTCGGCAAGATAATTCATCTTGATTTTGGCATTTGGTGTTTATGGTGCCTGACGAAACATGCAAATGACTGATCTCAAATTATAAGATCACTTTATGCCTGGAAAAACATGTAATGTAAGTCAATCCTGCAAAATCCAAAAGCCGTTCCCACATAGATAAGAACACATTTTGCTAATCTGAATGTTTTGGGATTAAAATATTGCATGTGAACCTTCCTTTAAAAAAAAAAGGCAGTGAAAATGCTAAAAAGACCAAGCAGGGCCCTGAACTAATAAGCAGGACCAGTCCCATTCATCTTTTGATGCTGCCACCCACAGCAGCATCTGTGGTTGCCACAGAAGCCAGTGCCTTTCTTGGCAGGAGCTGTGTGATGACCAGAGTACACATTTATTGCAGATACCCCCAATTCCCAAACAGCCCCGTCTGTTGTGCCATGAAGGAGCTCAGAGACACGAGAAGGCACCTGCTGCTCCCCTTGCATGGAGCCAAGCACAGGGCTGGGTGAGCTGCTGTGGGACTCCACTTTGGCTGAGGACCACTGAGGCAGCAAAGCAGAGCCCAGGAGTTAGAGGGAGCAAGGGCAGGCCAAGCAAACCACCATATTAACCAAAGTAAGCAATGCAGGTGTGCACAGGAGTGGGAAAGGACTTCATACTACCAAAGATGCTCTCTGGCTTAGCACTACTTCAGGGTACTCATGCTACAGTGCCTTACAGCCTCTTGTATAAAATATATCAGAAGGTCCTAGAACAAGATGGTCACATACTTGGTTCTGAATGTCTTAAAATGGGGATGAAGCTTATCAGATTCTTGACCTCCAGACATTTTAAGGAGCACAGTTAATACTTGACACAAACTTTTCATAACACATGGAGGATCACATTTAACTACATCACGCTTATGGAAAGGACTGCAATCTGACATAAATATCTCTGCAGTACAGAAGTCTCAAGTTACAATAAAATTTACACTTTTGTGAATATAGGTGGATATAGGGGGTTTATTTTATAATACTGAGTCTCTTCCTAATGCCCAGGCCATCACACAGAGCTTATGTTAAAGGGTTTCTGAAAGAAATGTTGACCCAGGGAATATAAAGCAGATTATTTCATATACTGTACTATGCTGAAAGTGACATAATTTATATAAAAAAAAAAAATCTAAGGTCTCACTTCTGGCGGTGGATGAGATGCACATGAACTTGCCAAGGATGGAGAAAGATATTTACTGGAATGATTCCTCTGCTCGGCCTCCCTACACAAAAGCAGCTGCTGATTACTGTATTCCTTCATTTCTTGGATCGACTATTGAAATGGGGTGAGTGGTACTAAGGTCCTTAATGCCATCAGAAAGATCACCACCTCTACAGCCCACGCTGATTGACGGATAGTCAGCACAGGCTGTGACGATACTGCAAGCAGGGGAGATGGAAATGGAAAGTGATATTAGGAGGGAGTGGACAGGCTGGTGTTGGTGGGATGACGTCTCCAGTGGTCCATGTGTACATACAAATCGTGCACACATAGCTAAATTGTATAATTAGTAAATAGAGCATGTTTGCAGGGAGAGTTTATTGACAGTCTCTGAGCACTGGATGGCACCTTAAGACAGTGACTGACTTTTCTTAATAATACTTTCTTTACTACAGCTGCTTCATACACTCCCCAATTAGCAAAATAGCTATTCCTTTGCTTATTTAGTTAGCAAATGACAGCTAGAATCAGTCCAGATTTTTGTGAAGATCAACAAAAAATCATCTTAAATGTCGTATGACTTTTCACTGACTAATAATCTGGGCGTGCAAGTTGGAGCGGTCAGATTTTGTGAAGGGATGAAGAGGATTTATTTGCAGAGATCAACATAAGAACCATTGTTACAAAGAAACATATAGAGGATATAGGATTGCTCCCTGTTGTTGGGATCTAATTGAGCAATTAGTGATAGGCCAGTTGGTTTAGAAGCTGTTACTTTAAATAATTGTGACACACTGTAAAATAGACAGGTCAGTAAGTGTAAATCCTATCATGACTGAACAAATACCAGGCAAGTAGATGTTCTTATCTGCAAATCTTTTCTAAAACTTTGCAGTAGCCACTTTGTTAACTTTAAAAATTATCTCAAGATGTTTACAATTTTCCCATCATTTCCCACCTTTATCAAAATAAAAGGTGCTTAATTTTTTTGTTTCATTTGGCCTCAAAATTGCTGGTTTCTCATTTTTATTCCTCTTATTTTTTCATTTTGCATGCATTCTACTACAAAGGACAATGGATTTATATGAGTTCCTGTTATTACAATCAGCCTCTTCAGAATTATTTACTTCTGGAAAAACTATAAAATGCCAAAGAGTAAAGTAAAGAACAACATTAAAAAAGTAAAGAAGAAAAACTTACATAATATAATTTATTTTACTGCAATTGCTAGGGGGGGAAGGTTGCAAAGAAGAAACATTATTAAGTCTGCAAACAATCTTTTTAATAAGAAGGACTTCTCACAAAATATGAAGGAAGGAGTGAATAAAAATAGATCCCTGTTAGCCCTGTGAAATGCAAACAGCTCTGATGTGTTCACTTTTTATTATTTTCTCATCTGAACTGTTTCTCTGTTTATATCTCTAAAAATAATGAGTAGTTCTTATGCAGACTTCAAAAACAAGTTCCAAAGATTCATCCAAGGCCAAAGCAAATATACAAAACTTGAGCCCAAATCCAAAGCCTTCTTCATTCACCTCAAGTAGACATCTGGAACAGGTTGCCCAAAGAGGTGGTAGATGTCCCATTCCTGGAAACATTCAAGGTCAGGTTGGATGGGGCACTGAGCAAGCCGATCTGGTTGAAGCTGTCCCTGTTCATTGCAGGGAGGTTGGATTAGATGGCCTCTAAAAGTCCCTTCCAACACAAACTATTCTATGATCTTCACAAATGCTGGATGAAATTCCTCTGTCCCTTCAGGGTAGTGTTGCCTTGCTGTGCTCCTTACCTTATATTAGGCCCAAGCCTCTTTGCCATTCTTGCCCTTAGGACTGATAACTAGGACAGTTTGGTTTGTCTTCTGGGGTGCACTGAGTCAGTAACGTGTACTGAATTGACTGACAGGTGCAGCAACAGTTGTTCTCATGAACCACCAGGGCTGTACAGGAGAAGAGCACCGGGTACAGGTGAGACATTCAGACGCATTATCATGCCCCAGAAGTGAGATTTGGCCATCTGAGTAATTCCAAAATTTTTTGAAATTGTTGCACTCTGCTTCCAGCAGTAGCTTTTTCATTGCGCTTAGTTTTGACCAAAGGATTCTCCTGAAAAAAACTACAGCATCAAGCAGGACTTCTTTCTTCCCTTTCTCTCACTCTAAGCACAAGTGTAACCATGTGGAGCTGCCTCAAAGGGCTGCAGCCCAAATATGAAATGGTGCCAGATGCTTGGCTGAATGCTCTCCCAGCCTGGTCCTCAGGAGAAGAGGCACCTGGATGTTGAGAGCTCTCTGTGTGATCTGGCTGGTTCAAAGGCACAGGCACTATTTTCTGGCACTCTCATCCTTTTCACGCTCTTTCTTACAGACACACTAGGGCCTTGGTTCCTATGTCTTCCTGCTGAGACAGCAGGATATATGTGCATAAAGACCTAATACTTCCTATACATAAGTGACACCTACTACCTGGCTTTATTTGGCAGGCTGGCTGATACCGAATTCCTCTACGGGGAAGAGTGGCCCTGGGAAGAGGAGAAACATGGAAGACAGTATTCAGTGTTAAGAAGAGTAAAGAGGTTTCTCAGTGTCCACGAAGGTCCTTCATACCCCACTCACCGGCGCTACAGTCGGCAGACAAGTGAGAATTCAGTGTTTTTCCCAGCAGACGAAAAGGGGCACATCAGACAGCTGCAGGAAATGCACAAAAGAGGGAGGCACTCTGCCTCGAGCTTCAAGAAGAAACATGAAGGAGTTGACAGAAGTAACAGACTTCATAATAGCCGAGATCTAGGACCCATAACTGAAACCTCAAGGAATGAGGCTCAGTTTGGTGACAGCGACACCTCATCTGAGACAAACAAGCCAATTCCTGAGGTCATCATCTCTGAAGCCGAGGAAAATGCACTTGGCATGCTGGACAAACCAGATCTGCTAACAGAGCGCTCTGCAAGCATGCCGGAAGAGAAATTCCAAAGGATCCTAGGCAAGGCAAATGTGACTCCTCTGAACCAACCTTTTTTCCCTCTGGAAATGACTACATACATCCCAAGCTCAGAGGCGCATCAGTCACTTCCTAGTTTGATAGGAGAGCCCAAACATGAGCCCCATGGTAGTAACATTGCTGGTCTTATAACAGATCATGAGAGAAACCTTCAGCGATGGAGTTTACCAAGCTTCCATAGTCCTAGTACAGCACCTAGTACAGCTGACAGTGCACCACCTTTAGCAGATTCCAGGACAACTTCACAACAAAATACCTTCAGTGATGGAAACAATGTTACTTCTGCTGCTGCACCAGAGATGTTTGAGATGCAGCACTTATGGGAAAACATGGACAGTAAAGAAACAGCCATAGTAGAATTTTCTAATGAGGAAAGTGAAAGAAAACTTTGACCATGCTTCCTCTGGGTTTGACTGAACTTCTTGTCTTCTCTTGAACATAGTTCTCATACAGATTTGCTGAAAGTGCAGAAGGGCAGACTTGATGCTCAAACAAGTCCTGAGCAAGATCCAACAGAGGATTTGAGACCTAAATAAGAGGCATTGTGGTGACATACTTTAAGCCACTTGGTCATTAGCTTGAAACCCATGACCTTGCAGGGAAAACATTTACCAGGAGAACTGGGAGCCCCAGGGGTGGATGCAAACCATCAGTGCACAGAACAGCAAGCTGCGTAGGCTCAACTAGAGGAAACACTAAGGTTATCAGAAGAGCGGAGATGGTTCTGTCCACTTTGGATCCACACTGAACACTGCTGCCTTTGTCCACTCCATCAGGTTCAAGTCTATGACATCCTTGTAAGACCCATGAAGACTTTTGTTTTCTATTTGAGTGGCTCAAAGGCGAGGTGTGGGCTAAATTCCCTCCTCAGCTTGGAGAGATTCAGCCCACCATCTCTTACTGCCTGGAGGAACACTTGAAAAATCAGGCTCCTCATTTGTGTAAGACAATAGCCTGCTCCGCTCTTGCTGAAGCTATGCCACTGGAAAAATAAAAGGATTAAATGCTTAAGTTCATTAAGAAAAATGAAAGAGGCAAAATAGGTCATGGGAAGTCTCAGTCTTGGTCTTTGCTCCCTGGAGCACGTATGTGGCATACACAGTGGCTGGTTATTGTAAAATGAGGCTCCCAGGTGGCCTCTCTCATGATGACAGGGCTGTGGCACTCTCTCAAGAGGTGGTGGAGCTGCAGGGGCAACTGAGCTTAGAGCTCCAGTCTTGTGGAGATCTTCAGCTGGAAGTGCACAGGCTACAATCATCCCAGGCAGACAACAAAATGGCCCAGGACCAGTAGCAAAATTGCTTTCCACTTCCTTCCCCTGCCCCCTTCCCATGCTTCCAGACACACCACACACATTCTCCATTAATCCAAATCTGCGCCAGCATTAGGTGGCTCCTGCTGCTCCAGGGGTGGCCAAGCCACCTCCCTAAACCTCCTGGTAGTGACCTGGCCTTTCAGCTGTCACTCCTGCAACATGTCTCAAAGCAGGCTAGGAAAGCAGCAGCAGCTCCTTGCTTTTAGCTCTTTATCCACATTTACAAAAACACAGTCCAGAGCATGTCACCAGCATTCTCCCATGAGTAAGTATCTAAGTAGATGGTCTCCCTGGAAAAGGGGGACACCAGATAGCTCAAGGGATGGAAAGAACAGAGAGAAGGGGAGACACAGAAAATTATGGGTCTGCAACAGCCAGCAAAAGCAGTATGGACTGTACGGGCAGCAAGTCCACCCAGCTCTCTTGCCCAGAAGGTTGCACTTCAGACAATAAACCAGGACCTCTGCCAGGGTAACTGTAGCCTCAGTGGCTTCGGGGAGTCCTTAGGACTCCCTGAAGCTGGGAAGGAGCTCCTGCTTCTCTGGATCACAGCTTAGGTGAGGAGCCCTTCCAGCAGGCTATCACATAGAGGAGGACTCTGCTATCTCATCTGGGTAGTCTTTGAACAAAAATCAACTACCCTTCTGTAGCAAGCCAGCGTTCCATTCTCAACCTCCCACTTCTACTTCTTCCAGCGTTATTTCAGTCTGGGAATTGGATCCTGCTAGTGTGCATTAGGCAGAGTATGAGCAGAGCCACCCTTTCAAATCCTTCAAAGACACTTGAAAAAGCACATGTATCCTGATCAGTTTAGGAAGCAGAGGACACTTGGCCCAAGGAAGAGCTGTTTAAACTCATATTATGTGAATTCTAGGTATGCAGAAAAGCCAAGCACAGTTTTCCCAGGCACCTTCGGAGGCACTTCTTCACACTGTGAGATGAGGTGACGCTGGTGTCTGACAGCAGCTTAGTGCAGTTTAATCACACTTTGGAGTGAGGCGTTCTGGTGCAACCTCACCCTTGCCACTACACAAGTCCTCAGGCAAATGAAGTTACTACGTTCAGATTTGACCAACAAAATGAGGAACTCTGTGAAGTGAAATTATGTTGAAATAAACAGCATCTTAGCCTAGCAGTCCAGTTTTCTGAACGGCCCTTCCTAGGCAATACTCAGCTCTGGAAGCATTGCCTCTTTCCTCCTGATTCCCTGTTTCTTCTTGTAGCTGAAGTCATACTTTTCTATTCAGTATTTTCTCAGTTTAATTACATCTGCAACTGTCAAGGAACTTCATTTACTAATGAGGTTAACTTCAACAAATGGTAAATTTGAAGTATAAACAATACATTTTAAGGATACCCAGACAGCTCCAGCAGCACAGCTAGAAATAAAGTAACTGCTGCTCTCCTCTGTAGCACTTTGTTCAGGTCAGGAAAGCAATATAAGTTTCTGGGAAGTTTGGCCATACACAGTTTGGCTGTGCATGTATAAGAAGGCTTTTCAGCAGCTGCGAAGAAAGTCTGGCCCATTATCAAGCTTTCTCCTTACAGTACATAAGGTTGAGGAACAGTGCTTCCCACTGTAAGGGAATTTAAACCAAAAGTCAGAGATGACTGTCAAGTGTCCACAACGAATTTGCACTGAGAGTCCAGTCCCATCACACCTCTTCACTAATTCTTCACACAGCTTCCACCAGGGTTTAAGGTGTTGGAGGAAAGTGCTCTTCCTCCTCAACCCAGACATCTGCATGTTTCATCCCAGCACTGCTAAGCACGAAAGAGCCTTCCCAGCTTCTCATCATCCAACTCTGCTCATCTCCCATCATCTTCTCAGCCTGGTCACTGCCTAGGATGCACACTGCTGCTTTCAACCAGGACATTATACATTTCATTATACATCAGCAATGGTTTTACTGCCTCTCCCACTCACTCTGCCAGCACTCCCTGTTTTCATTCTTTGATGGAGGCTCAGAGTGGCCACACAGCAGCCATTAGACAGATAAAAGCTTCAGTCCTACAGATGTGACTACTAGACATGTAGACGTGTGTTAAATTAGGAATGACAGCTCTGAAGTCACACAGCACAATCTGCAATAAGCAACTAGCATTTCACACAGTGGACCAGCTCCAAGTTAGCTATAATATTGTGCTCATTGCCTGTAAAGAAGCTAATGCCAGGATGAGTTACCAGAAAAATTTCTTCTCCTCATTTAGTCTGTTATCTCACTTTTGCAAACATCTGTGGACTCTGATTTGTACTACATTATCTTTTGGGATTATGTGCTCTCTTTTTCTGGTAAACTATTTGCCTTAGCATGGTAAATGGATTCTTTTAGCAGACCCAACAATCTACAATTCATGTTCACAGGTATAAGCAATGTTGAATTACTGCATGAATAAAGGCACTTTGAGAAACACCATCATCTTGATTGTACTGAACTCTCAAGAAGCATTTCTGACAAAGGTTTGACCTACCATGCAAGTCAACTTGATGTCTACCAGGAACAATCACACAGATTACAAAAGTTGGCAAAGCTAGAAAAGGAGAGAATAGGGCCAGGTTAGGTCAGAGCAGCAACTTGCTCCTATCAAATGGTGTTAATCTCAAGCAGGATCAGATATATCAGAACAAAGAGAGGGCCAGTCCCTCTACATGATGCCTGATTTTCCACCTATTTCTAGGTTGTGTTCACACTCCACACTGAAATTCATAGAGCCAAGACGTCAGTGCTGGGACTGATTGGTTGCAGAGACATGTCCCAACAACCTTAAAACCTTTGCCATAAATAACAGATTTCTGACTGCAAGCTCATGTTTGAGGAATATATAAGTATTTTAGAAATAATGGAAATGTATCAGAGTGTTAAGTCTGCTGCATAGTAGAGAAAACAAAAATACCCTGCTACTGTAAATGAGGGATAGAGCTTTATAGATGTTTGTCTTGGTTTATAACCAAACAAATGACACTTTCTAGATAAATAAGTTAGCCCATATAAGTTATCCATTCTTAAACAGTGATAAGGACAAAGGGGAATCAAGGCAAGATTGGTCTAAAATACACGACAACTTCACACAGCTCAATCTTGTCTGCAGAAAGAGACAGCTGGCAGCAAAGTCTTCTTTGCTGGAGGTTAATAGCCTGGATGCCAAATGTGTAACACAATGTGGCTGCAAATAGAGAGTCATGGAAACAGGCACAGGAGAGTATTTCATACTGGAAGGCAAGATCAGTATGTCAGAGATATCTACAGGCAAACTGCCTTGCTTTAGTAATACTTATCGTGTTACAACTGAAGCCTCAAAATCCAAGGGGCTGTGATCATAATGCTGCCAAGGCCAGCAATGGGTGTTGACTTTAGTCTGTGCTAAGCACATCCAGGCAGATGGCAGCAGCAAAGCCCTGGGGGCCACAAACCCCTGTCCCAGCAATGCCACCATGGGGCCAGTCTCCAGCTCCCCACGGCTCTGCCCTATTGGGGAGGTGCCCAGTGCACAGGGCTGGGGCTGCAGGCATTTTTTGGCTTTAGGAAGACATATGCCAACATATCACATCTTTCCACTCCAGAACACAGAGCAATATGAATTTTCAATTGCTGTTACACCCTCTCCTCCCCCTCCTCTCCAGCACTGGAACCACTGAAAAAAATATAAAATGTAGCTGTAACAGCACTAGGACCAAAGCAGATTTTGCTTGTTTAAGTTTTATTCATGTGTAGTGGTGCAGTATCAGTTTTAGCAATCCCAACAAATGCTCCAATGGGTATCATTTTGGTGAATCTTCTTTTGCCAAATCAGTGCAGCTGCCTGTGGCTGTTTCATCTGAAACAGCTGCCAAGGCTGACAAGAGGTGGCTGAGCAAGAGGCGGTAGATGTCTAGTGCTGGTGCACATCTGCGGTGGAGGGAGGGAACCGTGCTATGCCTTTACATTGGCTGCGATCTGGGTTTTGTAGTGTGAATAGATGCAGCTCCAGCTGCTCCCACCACCAAGGGGCAGAGATGTCAGATGCTAAAAGCAGCATCTGACCTAAGGTATGGACGTTAAATGCTGAGATCCAAAAGAAGGATAGAAAAATATCCAT